CAAATCGAGGAAGCAAACTTGGCCCAAGTAACCAAAGGCGGGGCCTTGTCCACCGGGATCGGCAGGCTCAAAGCGAGGACGGGGATGTTGGCCGCGACGTTGTCTGCAGGAAAGACATGTGCATCCAGCGTCACCTGACATTCACTAGAGCAGCCGAAGCAGCAGCACGACATTCACTCGCACACTCTGCAAATGTTGACATCTCATGTAATTATGATCCCTACCTCCGGGTGTCCATTGGTTGCCAGCCAATGGTTCACTGCTGCGATCATTGAGTTGTCGGAAGCCGGGCCAAAGTACTCTTCGACCAAGCGACAAGGATGCTCATCTTGCTCCGGGTTGTAGGTCCTTAGATGTTCTTAAGTTAGATGGCGTAATGAAATAAAGCTGCAAGCCAATCTCCAGTGACTCACTGATTTCAGTCTAGAGGCTCCAGAGCTTTCAGCATCCGGCCCACCCAGGTCTCTTCATGTTTGGCCTTCTTACTGGTGGAGGCCTTGCCTCTCTTCGGAGGCATTGCTCCCTAATTGTCACACAGCCAGTCTCAGTGACTGGAAAAAAGCATCGACTGCACGGCACAAAGTGTGTAGCACAGCCCTCACATGCTTGCAATACAGAGTACCCAACATGCACCTGAAACGTTCCATCGGTTCTCCGATTTGCCGCTCGTGCCTCATAAGTCAGAACGTCAGAGCTCGCAGCAGCAGCAGTGAAATCTAAATATCACGGAACTGGCAAAGCTATCTCCAGCGTGATCGAATTTCAGCACCTGCCCCCAAACAAGTATGCTCAGGAGATACGTACGTAGCTCACTTGCAAAGCCAGGATATGGCAATGAAATGAGGATCAAGGTCCTAGGGAATACGGTTCAGTTTAGCTGTCGGTTTCATTCAGTTTTGGGTCGGGGGCTTTTTTACATAACAGCTTTCAGTCTCGGGCAAAGATTAATCTCATTTCAGACTTGAAGCTGGTTGCAGGCTTGGGCTCAGTTTCTAGCTACAACGAAAATTTCTGGCGACAGGGAAAGGTTTATGGATTTCGGGAAATTCCTGAGGGCAGGCTTGGAGGCTGCACTTTACACTCTTTCGAGAAACAAAGCTGCTATCATTGCAATGGCTCCTGCCTGTGCTACGTGCATCCCATTCCCAGCTAGCTGACATGCTGCACTCATCGTCAGGCTGCTCACATCGATCATCGGGCTTCCTGCAGCGGATGCCTCAGACAAGAGCAAGCCTAAGGCTACTTCATTGAATCGCTTGATTATGTACTACCTCTCCCGGACGTGATACAGTCATGTCACGAATTGGGTCTTCGTCGGGACACACAGAGCCGAAAATATCTCCTCTGTGTTCATGAGGCGGTTCTGCGGAACGGAATAGATCTTGCCACAGTTTGTTTTCAAAGTCATCAAAGAGTCATCATCCAGCTCAGTTCTCATGTGACTGGCCGAGGCTTGGGACAAGTCATAGACCTCCGGAAGAGAGGCAATCTCACTCGGTCGGCTGATGACTTTTCAAGGGTTTATTTATGGTTTAGGGTTTAGGGTTTAGGGTGAAGGGTACCAAGGGTTTAGGGTTTGGGGTCTTGATTGAAGGGTTCAATTCTGCGAGGAGCTCATAGCTGTGCATTAGCCTGACATTATTGAGAAGATCCAAATCATCGGTTTCGGGCTTCGTGGTTTCGGCGCAAGAACGACAGGCTGAGGATTCGATTTTGAGTTTGCGTTTAGTTGGCAACTCGTGGGCATTATGACGATGCAGGGACCAGTGCTAGGCTAGGCTTTCGGTGTTTAGGTTTTAGTAGGAACTTAATTAAGGTTTGAGGAAACTAGAGAGTCTTTTCAAAGTTGGCGGGATCCTGAGTGAGCCCCTCGAAAACCCAGTGCCCGAATGCCTTCTTCTTGGTGTCTGCAAAGACCTCATCGTAGGCCCGCTTCGTTCGAAGCAGGGAATCGGTCAGCGGGGCATTCTTGCAAGACTTCATCTTCTTGACGTAGAAGAAGTCGGCAGCCTCAGGTTTAACGTTTAGGGTTTAAGGTTCCCCCCCAAAAAAAACCACCCACGTGGCTTCGGGGTCGAGCATACTGTAGGTCTAGATATCCATCGCCTTTACCCACGACGAGCTGCTATCTTGCAGAGCGACTAACTTCAGGCAAGTAGGTTTTGCACTGTAGAGCAGCCACACCGGGAATGGCCGTCACTGTCCATTTTGTGAATGGCAACAGACCAATGATGGTATTTACGACCGGGCCTGTCAGTGTCCATTATGTGATTGGCTACAAAAGACCATGACTGCTGGTATTTACCTTCAACACTGTCCCGTCTGTGATTGGCGTGTTAGTTCCAGCACTCAAAAGCAGCTGTGTCCGAGCTAGAAGAATGCAGCCGAAGTACATGCATGCGTGGCTTTGCGAAGAAGGTGGAAAGCAGGTCTTCGAGGCTCGATGTTGTAGTCCATCGTACTGTCTTTTTGTTAGACATGATAACCCAGAGTCTCGCCCGGGCACATCCGAATCCCAGGTGCCTCGAGCATAAGCGCACCGAGCGAATCTCGTAGAGCCGTCCTCATTGATCTCTACATGCAAACGGCTGAAGAAGTACACCCAAAGCTCTCTCTCTCTCTCTCACACAGGTGCTCGAAGCGTCACCCTAAACCCCCAAACCCTAAACCTCAAGCCCTAAAGCTTAACACTGGACATGTGGTGTTTCTTGCGAGGGCTGCATTACGTGCAGCCCAGCTTCCGAATCGTTCACGGAGGATGTCCATCTCAAACAGCGGGGTGTTCTCGAAGATGATAATGTCCTGCGGATGCGGAAACAAACAGTGCGGGGTTGGGATGCAAAGTCAAGGCAACAGCTCGAGTCTCTAAGCCTCTAGGCAGTCTCAACTTCACATTTCAGGCCTCCTGGTGCTTCAGCCTCATGTCGTGCCAGACGGTGTGGGAAGCGAAGGCAGAGTGCATCGTCTGCAGGGCAGGAGCGAGAGTGTTATTAGGATTATGATGCTTAGGCTATGATGCTAGGGATGGAGGTATCAAGCCCGACCCAAAGACGCCTTCGTTCGTTTCCCGGACGAACTGAAGGGCTGGCAAGAGGCCCCAGCGCATTCCACCCGAAACTGTCGTTCATGTCTGCTGGCATCCGGGAGGGGACACAGTTTCATATGTGTAGTGCACCAGGCACTATTCATGAGCCCGTTGTCGTTTCGCCAGTCGAGAACGTCACTGAACCTGAGGTAGTTAGTCTTTAGTCAGGACTGATTCTTTCCAAAGATTAGTGTCACTGCATCATTGCAAAGAAGATCAACTCAGCAAACGACACACACCGATTGCGAAACGTGTTATGCAGGATGTGTTGGGAGTGGCGGCAGAAGTCGGCAGCAGAACCAAGCTGGATGCAGGCCGAAGTCTCGTCCAATCCAGCTCGGTGGATGGCTGCTCGGGCCACAGTCTGGACCTGATGTTGCATGATCAGGATGGATCGGAAATTATTCAGAAGCAGCCATACACTATTCAGACAAAAGTGCGGACCGTGTACACTTGCACAGGCCAGTTCGAAGCATCCCAGTCCGGAAAAAGTCGTAGTCAAGAACCAGCTGAGGTTTTGGGCCAAGCGTTCCGTCACCCATGCCGCACCCCATCTTCCCTGGGCCTTCTCGAGAAACCTGGGGACGATTTTGCAGACCCATCTGAACCCAAACCTTACAACATGAAGATTCAAGCAATGTATTCACAAGTATCCCGGCCTTTGCGGCCACCGAAACTGTTCCGAAACATTTCGTGGACCCCCGGGAGCAGTCGAAGGCGGCAGATTGGTTCCATAGATATTTCTCTTGGTCCTTGCCTTTCGCACAGGCCTGGCTCCGCCTCGCCCTTGTTGGCTTGCTGCCTGGGCAGGGAACCCGGAGAGAGAAATGATTTCAGGGGATGGAAGCAAAAGAACTGGAAGCCCAAACCCAACTTGTGCCTTCAGACGAATTCCCGTGAGGGCTCCTTTGATAGCAGCTGACACCGAAAAGTGAAGTGGTTGCTGGTCATGCGAGCGCCTGGGATGCGGGCGGTCGCTTCATTCCTAAAAGGTGTTGCGTGTTCAGCTGTTGGTTGGGGGGCTTTGAATCCATGTTACGACTCTTGGGCTCGGGTGAAGATTTCTGTGATTAATCTATTAGTTTGAAGGCTCGATTAATTGTTGCTGTTTCGTTACTATGAAAACCTCTAGTTCTAGCCACGATCCGGGGGGCTCTGGTTTATGGTTTAGGGTACTTGGCTCGGCAGTGGGAACTTAGTCTTCACGAGGGTCGGTGTGGTTTGGGTTTCTCGCGTCTACGTAAAGCTAAGTTTTAAGGAGGTGTTTGTTTGGTGTAATAAAGGATGAAGTTGATCCGGACGGCGCTTGAGAGAGTCGTTCTTCCTCCGAATCAGAGGATCCATGGCTCTCTTGCAGCCGCTCCTCCTCCGAGTCCATCTACGAAACAGCTTGAAGCCCCGAGCCCTGGAGCCCTGAGCATAGATAAAAACGATGCAGCCGAAGCCCCCAGACCTGACCTGGAGCCCTGAAGCATGAAGTTGCATCTACACTGAGCCTTGAATATTTTGCAGATCGGTATCTCCTGTACAGCAGGGCCCTTGAGAACCTCGAAGCGGTGCAATTCGTCAAGCGTCACGAGGAAGATGCGCATGTGTCTGCACTGAAATGCATTCGACTTGCAGCACGAGGTCGAGCACTGCACTTGCAAAACGATGTTGTCACTTCTGCGAATCGCAAGTATCCATTGCCGCGAAGCTGGACTTTGCCCAAGCCATTCCTAACAGCAACAGAGCTCTTGTGCCACTGGCCTCAGTCTCGTCGAACGATTGAAGCACCCGCAGTGACTGTTACTTCATCTTATTTGGGGTTGTACGAGGCCCTGGGCAGCTGAAGGGCAAATTACCTTCGCAGTGTGGCCCGAAATTTGGCCACAGGAAACAACTTCAAGAACGAGTTCAGGGGTGCATCCTCCAAACGAACGAGTCTTTGCTCGTGATCGGCATTGTGCCAAGGCAACGGCACTGCATCCTCGGCGACAATTGTGCCACCCTCGGCAGCCTTTAAAAGGTATAGGATGGATCCAGAAGAAAAGCGCTTTCTTCGAAAGAGCTCCTGTGCTAGAGCCAACCATTGCTTCCTCTTCGTCAAAGAGAGGGGAGCTAGTGGTTTCTGCATTGAAGGCATTGGGGATGGCAGCCGGGATAAGAAGGCATTCGGCAATACAAGCAGTGGCATCTGTGAAACAGACTCATCCGAAGCGTATCGCTTCACGTAGCAGATCACATCAAAATCAGACTTGGCAACTGTCCGTGAAACCGGACCTTCGGAATGAATACGAGCGTCGCTTGGCACATCTCGGCTGGTGGCAGGCTTGATGGTTTCGCCTAGATTTGTTGCCACGATTTCATGTTCGAGTGACGATATGCGAATCCTTGGGTGTACGGTTTTGGGTTTAGGGTTTAGGGTTTAGGGTTTAGTGTTTAGGGTTTTAGGGTTTAGGGTTTCTGATTTTGGGGAAATGGGATGTTTTGGGATCCTTGCTCTTATTGCCGCGTCTATGCTCATATGCTGTTCAGGTTCCGGGCCTCCATTCTTGATTAGACGATTTGAGAAGCTGTGATTCAAGGCTTACTGTGACTGCAGCCGACCAATCTAGAGAGCACCAGATACATCAAACCAAAGAAAGCCCCACGACTACCCTCCTTTATTTTTGCCGGCAAGCTACCATGCCTCCGCAAGAAGGTAAAGGAGTGCACCCCTTCTGATGTATCCAGCAAAGCACCGTGCCACTTTGCTCTGAGAGAATCCACCCTGCCGAGGAAGGGCTTGCATCAAGGACTAAACTTGATGGGAAATCTACTATTAAACTGTATTCGAAAACAAAGCTACAGGCTGTAAGCCGGGACACCACGTTTGCCAATCCTTGACATGTCCCAAGGCAACAACCTTCATCTTGGCATCGGGCCCGACCCAGGACTGGACGTTCAGTCGTCCCAGGAGAGATTCCAGTTTCCTTGGAGACTAGGCTGAGGGTTTGAAGCTTTAGGCTGCTTGGCAGGGGTTTAGGATGCTACGGGTTTGGGGGTTTCAGTAATAACAACGGGGAGGGGGTTTAAGGGTTTAGGCAGCTGGCGTTTTACCGTTTAGGGTGAAGGGTTTAGGGAGGGGCTTAGGGGTTTAGGGTGTCGCTGTTCCAGAGGCAAGGTCCGGAGCATGTACTTATTCTGAACGTGTTCTAACTCGGAGCCCACGGTTTCAGACCCCATAGCCTGGAGGCCCCCAGTCCCAAAAGAGTGCAAAGAGCTGATGTCTTCGTAATCATCACTGAGAATCACTGATTCATAACACTAATACAGAATGGCTACCTGTATTTGTTGAGTCAAGCGTCTTGCGAGTGTCCTCCATATCTAGAAGGGAATCTTCATATCGCACTGCCGTTGACAACAATCCAAACAGAGCATCGAGGCGGTTGTGCGTGTGTCCAACCCGGCTCGAGGTCAGATTGGTTGTTCGAAAGGCTTTGGAGGCTGCTAAGTACATCAAATAGCCGAGGACCGTCCGGTTTTTGTTTTCCCGGACAGTGTTGTCTGCCTGGGCTGGGTTCAGGACATCACCTCCTAATCTCTTGAACGCCTAAACCCCTAAAACCATTCAATCCTAAACTAGGTTATGGTGCGAGCAGCCCAGCAAATCAACTCCACCGGTTTCCGAAGGCCTTTCTCCTCGCACAACTTCATGATGTCTTCGATGCTTCTCGACAGCACCTGCGGGGTAGTGGCGGGAACACGAAAGGCTTACAGGGATTAGGAGTCTTCTGAAACAAGGTGAGGTGTAACTTTATTGTAGTGGGTTTCTCTTTGCAGCCTCGACCGTAAGCGAAGCATCGTGGGCAATGTTTGCATCGATGAGGTAGAGAGTCAGCAAGTATCTTGAAGCCCAGACCCCCACAAGTTTCAGTCGTGGCCGGATATACTGCTGTAGGAGCTTGGATCCTCGATTTTCGGGATAGCGTGGAAGGGCCCATCTTGCTTGATCCATACCATCAAACTGCAACAGCAGAATAGGAGCATCGCTGCTATGTGGGTCCAATCCCTCCAGATGTTGTCAGCTCACGATCGAAACCAACCGCCCGCAAATGGTCTTTGTAATCGCGTATGAGGCCGAATTTTCTGCAAATATCCTGGCATGTTGGGTGGGTCTTCAGCAATTAGACTGCGGGTTCCTGAAAAGACCGGACAAGCTGACTTCCTGGCCTTCTCTGCCTTGATTTCCTGCTTGACATCGAAGCACTGGTTGCACTCGGCGAATTCGGATTGTGGACGGAAGGGCAAGCAGAACTTCCATTTCTGTTGGTATCGACTCTTGAACGCAGAATACCTTGGATAACAGTAGAGGGAACAGTTTACGTAGTAAGCGTCCATGCCTCCTACTGAGCACTTGCTTAGCGACACCAAAATCCTGCTTCGAGGGGCGAGGCATGATCTCTGGGCTGGGTCGAACAGTAGTGCCGGTACAGATCCATTATGGTGCCTGGGGGGAGATATCGGCGTGGGAGCTTGCAGATGTTGAACCCGTGCGTCGTCGTGACATGCCTCGGCCACAAAGGAACAAGGGACACACCGCTCTGGCTCTAGTTACTCGACAAGCAACACAGCAGCGGCATGAGCCAGAAGTCACATCTCACGACTAGGCACCGGTTCCAAATTTCCCTGTCAATGTTGACCTCAAGCCTCAGGTTTTCATCATCCTCCAGAGCCTCGCCCGGAAGGGCCAAGTCGTCACCGTGGTCCGAGTCCCCAGGCGCATCCTTGCTGGAGCCGCGGTGCCGCTGTTTGTTTGCCATAAGAAACCTGAAGAGAAAAGAACCCGGCTTAACTTAGCACCCATGGAGGCTTATCTCACAGGAATCGTAGCTCTTGAGGCCAAGGCCCTGTAGGTAAAATTTCTGCAATGGTGCCATGTAGATGAAGAAGGAAATGATCCACATCTCTCGCCTTTCTCTCTGAACGGTGAAGGGCCACATTGCAAGAAAACCGGGTGTCCACGAATCCCGAAGCAGCTTTGTTGAGCCGCCCATTTCCAATCCCCAGAGCTGTGCACAAGCAGTGCCGACCCACGGAAACCCCAAGGAGAGTGTAGGATCTCTTGCCAGCGTCTTTCTCGTTGCTTCCAGTAGCAAAGCTATCGTAGATCTTAGTGCGATCACTTCAACTACATGCTTTTGCAAATGTTCCCAACTCCGACCAAAGAACAAGACTCATTGGAAATATGCAAGACGAGGCCTAGGCACAAAAGCATCCTGCTCAACCTTCCCAAGCGAACGGAACGAAGTACAGAATTCCACCAGACGCTTCTTCTCTGCCCGCAGTCGCTTGAAGCAGTTGCTCCTTGTGCAGTTGCAGCGGCTCAAAGCCAGGACGGTCTCCAGGCGCTCTTTCTCTGGACGAGGCCTCAGATACTGAGAACGGGATCATATCTAATGACTCGTGTCGGAATAGATAATAAATACATGGGCTTTCCTTCGGTTGCCAGGCAAGCTACTGCATTTTCGGGACAGGAGAAGCAAGGGCAGCTCGCTTCTCATTCTTGTATCGCCGTTTGGTAACCGTCTTCTTCAAAGGAATCTTCTGCAGGCTCCTGTGCTTGTCTGAATACAGGCAAGAACTTCAACCCCAAAAAGAACCCCAAAGAACTTCAGAACAGTGCTGAATCAAGCCAGAATCCGAACACGTGCTCTCTGCAAATTCTCCCAGGAGAACCCAGCAACCCCAGTTTGCAGCTTCGCTTCCAAACGGACCCCAGCACTATCCGAATCTTTCCGGCAGGATCGGCGCACGGCTTCGGCGAGATTCATTGACTGCGAACGGCAGCAACACAAACACTCCCTACTGTTGTAGCGGTTTAAGGTTTAGGGTTTTTGCTTCGGATGTAAAAAGGTCACAGATCGGTCCAGGTTCTGTCGAGTGTGTGAAAGCAAAGTTTAGGAGGAATTGGGTTTAGGGTTTAGGGTTTAGGGTTTGAAAATCTTCAACCTGAAATAAGCTTGAAAGCTTAGATAATTGCCAAACACATACACCAGTGGGGCTTCAGACCCTAGGCCTTCAAACTTAAGGTCCGAAAAAAGCCTAAAGCCTAATAATACCCGAACACATACACAGTTGGGCCATCAGACCGTAGTCATTCAAACGTAAGCTCCCCAAAGCCTAAAGCCTAAAACCTAGTGCTATACCAAACCCCCCCTAATCACAAAGCATCAGCACGACATCTCTTACTTCGAGAGCCGAGAAGCCTCGCGACAGTCACAGCCAGCTGCAAAGCTGCTCGGGCAAACACTCGGAGAATCTACATTATTCAAATGCTGCTTTCGACAACAGAGGACTGTTTTCACCTGGTGCCCCCTCATGTTCGTCCTGGGTTTTAAACTGCTGTGCTACGAGGCTGTCATATCATCGTCTTTCAGAGCCGTATCTGGCTTCACCAGCCCCTGCTTCTGTAAGAAACGTACGACTCGGCGGAGGCGACGGGCCAGCTTCCGGGCTGAGGGCCAATCCTTATACACGAAACAAACGACGAGAGTACTGAATTGAACACACATCTTATCTCTCGACGGACCGGCAGAAAATTTCGAGCCAAACAACAAACTGAATATTAAAACAAATCATTATAAAAACTTCAATCCATGATGTTCTTCACAGCCAATGACTTGCAGGATGACGCACCACTCTTTTTCCAGATGGGGAATTCAGAATCCATCCTTGTGGCGCTGTTGTCGTCCTGCTCTTTTGGCAAAGAGAACTACTGCTTACGGCTTACTGGAAGCGGAGGGCTTTCTCCCCTCCCCTCCTCAGCGGTTCAACCTTGGTTGACGTCCTGCAGAAACGGGGCGTGCGGAAGTAAGCTTTCAACTCTTGTGCCGCTTAGAGTGTGGCACTATGGTCTGAGAGCTGTGCCGGTTGTCAGACTCAGACTCGTACTCACTGCTGTCAGTAAAACCAGCAGGGTGCACAAACCACTTCAAGAAAAGGACTTGACATGCCTTGGACGCGGCTCCAAGCCGCCTCTGTCGTTCGTATCTGAGATGCAGATTTACTCGACACCATACTTCAGGTGTGAGTAGAACCTCAGCTGTTGAGCGCATCCTGAGTCGAGAGGTGTGGGCGGGTGGGTTCTCGAAATTTTCTGCCCGCTTCAGCTTGAGCAGAGATTTTACAAGAGCACAATTCATAAGTGTTCTGCCTAAACAAACTTCCT